CAGTTAGCTTTACTGTATCATGTCACAAATTAAAAATTTAAGAAATGCCCTGCAGGCTTAGTCTAATGGTCCATCCTGCTAATCCAAGATTCTTTCTCTGGCAGTGGGAAAGTGGCCAGACTGATTTCCCCCCCCGCTCCCTTGCCTATTTCTGTTGTATATCTCCAAAACCTAGAATTGGCATACGGTTGTTAAAGGTACAGCCTTGCCTATTGTTTTTAGTATCCCTTTATGTACCTGTTGTCTAGTAAAAGTATCCAGAGTATCACCTTTGTATTCTGTAAATAATTAAGATTGAGCTCCAGATTATTTGATTTTATAACCTTGAGTTGTAAATACCTCACAATGTACTGTTGTTAGGTTCATCAGCAACTGAACAGAGCATTACGATACAGCCCTCAATACTTTCTGTGCTTTTTAAACTTAGAGATCTGCATGCAAATGGTTTTGTTTTCTATAGCTGAAATTGCAACCGAAGGCAATGTGGCAGCATATCTTTAGACAAGTGACTTTTCCTGACCATATGTAATATGATAGGCATTCCTTGTAGGAAGGCTTTCTTGATATAGCCAGAAGCAAAACAAAAATGTTGCAGTTCTCAAGATGATTAATGTATTAAAATACAAGAAGTGTAGAAATGAACTGTGTATGTCTTCATTGTTGTGTAATCTAAGTACTGAACATATAGATCTTAATGCATTTGTTGGCTCTATCTCTTCTCCTGCAGCTCTTGTATATTAAAGAATTTAATAATAATAGACATGGAAAGCTATAGTGATAGAGGTGAGAGTTGTCTGCCATGGACACCGTTCCTTTGGGAAGGAGATACTTGCAATAGAAAAAGATGTTTGTAAATTGCACAGATTCTTAATTGTTTCCTCTCTCGTGCTTTTGGCTCTTAGGGACAAAAACTTATGTAATAAAGCCAGATGGAATCACAGAATAAGTTAGGTTGGAAGTAACCTTTGGAAATCAACCGGTCCAAAACACTGTACCAAGCAGGGTTTGGTTTTTCTTAGAGATTTGTTTCCTATGAACTTGGTGAAAACATTTGTAATTCTGAACTATACAAATATGTAAACAGTTATTTGAAGAGTCTAAATGACATTGCATTTTTACACTACTGCTGCAAATAAATGTTTTGTTTTGCTTGCTTTGAAATATCTGACATTCTTCATCAAAATGGAAAATTACTTGTAAATATTAAGCATTCAATTTGATTTCAGTGCAAGAGGTTTTAATCACAAAAAAACATGCATGAGCATTTGAGACATGTAGCTTTTCTTAGAAGGCTTAAGGATAAAAAGGAGGACAACTGGCAATAACATACCAGCTGAATTGGTTCAGTGGGCTCTAGAGCTAGAGGCGGTGTTGCTGTACCTGTCTGAAGTTGTCCTATGGGAAATCATAGCTTGTTGCTTTAACTTAGGAGCAGCGTGGCACTAGCTCCTCTATACTATTTCTGGAAGATTATCTGCTCTTTGCCTGCCTCTGCATTTTACCAGTGCAGTGTAATATTACAGCAGCCCTGGAGCTGCTTTGGTTTGTTGGTTATATGCTTCAAGTTAGGAAAAAAGAGAGACGGAGGAGTATATGAAGAGGAGCAAAAGGCAATTTAATTTATTAACTTCCAAGAGAAGCTGTTTTGGGGATGGGAGTTCAGTGCAAAATGGGCGGGTTGCTGAATTTAATCATCTTTAAGCTACTGTAGAGGGCCATAATCAGCACTGATCTCTTGGAAACCAAAGAAATGTGTGGCAGATTGCCTCCTCTGAAAACATAGCTCTATTTGCCCCCTCTCAAAATGTGGAACAAGTGTTCACATTAAAATACTTGGTTTGTACAGTGGCTGAACAAAGACTTTAAATCTGTAAGCACCTCCACATTTTTAACATGGTAAACACTTTGGATGTTTTAAATTATCATCTTTCTATTAGGTCTTTGTAGTTTGACTTTCACTTAGTATCCTGATTTATTCCTCCTACACTGCAGATAGCTAAATGTATTCTTTGATTTTATTAAGTTGCGTGACATCCCAGCCACCGTGGTTCTCTTATCCTTTTTTTTTTTTTCCTCCCCTCATGGAGTTTAATGCTTATTTTAAAGCTTCTTTTGATTTTGGTCCTAACATCTGGGATTTTATATGCCTGTTGTTCCTTGTCTTCCTATATTACTTCGATCCCTGTGCAGTCATATTTCTGAATATTTCTATACACTGATGAAATCAGATTAAATGAGGAGGGAAAAACAACTAATTTAATATGCTTCAGACTAAGAATGGAGAAAAAATGCATAAGAAAAATCCATTGTAAATGTCTGTTACATGCTCTACAAAATAAGTCTATGTGTGTAATGTACAGTACCCATACATACTCTCTGTTACAAGTAATTCCCTAATACTTGAGTGAGTTCATAATGGCTGTGTCTCAAAATTAAGGTTAGTATACTTTGTAGTTTACTTGTACTCATTATGTAGTCGAGTGCCTGACTTTCTGTGGCCTGTTGTATCTCTGAGATGAGCAATGTGGAATGCCTTTTGAGTCAAACACGGCCATTATGCTCTCTGAGGAGCTGTAACTGATATATTTACTCTGTAAAGCTCAAATGAAAACAAGATATATTGCTACTTATAGATAGTTCCATTTGTAGTAGTGCTTATATGACTTCCCATTAAGATGTTAAGGACGTTAATTTCTCTTTATTCAAAAAGCTCTATTGTAAGGATACTATAGGTGGTACTGCATTTTCCCCTTGAAGAAAAGATTTTAAATTTTTTTACTGAGAAATTATCATAGTATGCTGTATTAGTATAGGTTCTAAATTAAGAATAATTGTTAAATGAAATTCCATCATATGTTAAATTAGTCAAGAAATAGTGTTGTTTTATTTTTGCTGGTTTTATTTTTAATTAACTTTGGTTTAACCTTAAATAAATGATTTGTAATACCCCCAGCCTAACTCACATCTGCCTTTTGTATTTGTTTTTTCCACCCTAGAAGCATAACTGTGATGTATTAAAAACTCGATGCATTTATTTAACCTAGTAATAACCAACTGTTCAGGGCTGAATTTCTAGCATAATACTGGGTGAATTATGTCTTGTGTTGGCAGCTATACCACTTTGTCTAATTCTGGGATAGAGTCACAAAGCATGTATAAACATAGCATTACCAGTGGGAGTGCTGAGTTAATGCTCCCCAAGATCTCCCCTTGCATAGGGGACAGGGCAGAGAGAGGACTGACTTAGCAATTGCAGGTGAGAGCTCAGCTCTGCAGCGTGCGACACTGAGTCAGAGATGTGGTGGGCAAACAGGGATAGTGCCAACACAATGTCTGCTGAAGGGTCGGCAACCTGGGATATTTGCTAATCAAACACTGCTCATTTGCTATGTAGTTACACATAACACTTAAAGTGCCTACTGTGGCATAATCCGTATGTGACATAGCCCATAACTAGTTGCAAATTGCGGTACAAATTACAGCATGGATATACAATGCTACTTGAAATACTTACTTGAACCTCAAGAACGCTTTTTCAAAGATTTAGCAACATTTGGGCCTGTGGGAAAGTGAGTTAAGGCTTCTGTTGTTCCATGTTTGGGGGTTTTTTTTGCTGTAAATGTATTAGATTTTAAAATATTTTTCTGGTTTATGTCTGACAGTAATCAACAATATTGTACAAACTTCCTTCTGTATGCAAAGTTAAAATTTAACAGTTTATACATGTTTTCTAAGTTACATCTATGGTCTCTTCAGATTGTTTCCATTACTTCTGTCTCTTGCCTTCAAGAAATACTTAAGTATTGATATAATTCATTCCAATGAAGCACGCTAGCGTGCTTTTCATGTGTGTGCTCTAAAGGAAATTGCCATTTCAGGTATTCAGGGGAATAAAATTAAATTGTACAACTTTCAAGCTGGGGGGGGAAGAAATCTGTAAGCAAAATATTTGTTGCTTTTTTTGTATGTGTATGTGGAGGTTTGGGTTTTTTGTTTATTTGGTGTGGGGAGTTTATGGTTTGGTTTTGTGGTTTTGTTTTTTTTTTTTTCCCCTGGAAGACAATACCCTTATTGTGTCACTTGAAATTCCCTGTGCAGCAGTCCACCTTCTTGTTCAGTAAACTGCCTCAGGGTAAAACGTTGATGTTCTCTCTCTCTTTTTCTTTTTTAGTCATTTTTTTTTTCTGCCTACAAAGTAACCATTGTGTTCTAACTCCAATAGTGATATTTTAAAGGAGGGCAATGCAAAAGAAAACAAGTGCAGAACTACTACAAGAGTAGTTTTCTGAAAATCTGGTCTTCTTAATGCTGGACTTCATAATTATTTTTTTCCTTACTCCCCCCCCCTTTTTTTTACCTCCTTTATAAAGCTTTTTCTTCCCATTTTCCTAATTTGGGTGCTTTCCTAAATGGCAATGAATAAGCTCCTCTTTAAACAGGCGTTGTCAGGTAAATCCTCTGAAGCACTCTTTTGCACTGTTTTGATGTTTAAGAGAATTTTAGTGTAAAGAAAACCTGAAATATTTCTCCATCTCCTTTTCCCCTCCTGGCGACAGTATATCTGTTGCTTAATTCAACATATCCAAAATAGAAGGATAGTTGGTAGGTTTTTATTTTTAGTTTTGACTTACTAAAAATATAACTACGTATACTTTTTTCTAGCTTTTGAGATCTGTCTCCAAGAAATCTTCTTTAGTGCGCATATATAACATCCAGCACTTACTAGCTCATGTGAGGCTAACAATTTATGTATAAACTGTAGAAATGCAGAAGTTGAATGCAGGAGGCATATTTATACAGAAGAGCGAGGGATGAAAACAGTTTTTGGGGTTTTTATATCTTAATATATATTATGCATCTAAACATCACTGGAATGTAATATATTTATAAAATGTAGGTAATACATTTTAAAATAAGTTATTATATCTCTTTATTGAATGATCAAATATTTGTGTGTAGTCTAATGTTAAATATTTTTTCTCTTACATTTTTCCTTGCAGATTTGTTCCTTACTACATCATCAAATTCACAAAGCATTCAGTTTGAGACATGGGTAAATAAGGTAAGAGAAAAGCCAAATAACCATTCTGTTAAAACACAGACAAGTTAAAAAAAAAAAAAGCCATCTGATATTCCTTGTTTCACGAATGCGCTATTGCATTCGACTACACAATATCACTGGAGGAGGTCTTTTAATCAGCATAAGTTCCTCTGCAGATTTTTTTAACATTACTACTAAGTAAATCAATCAGGCTGCCTTCATACACCTTAGCAGGACTCCTGGTGTGTCATCAGCTGTTCTAGGAGGTTACTGACACTTAGCATGGTGATTTATGAAGAAAAGGCTGATCAGATTTTTTATTCTTGTTGTCTCATAGATTTTTTTTCTTTAAGTAAGCTTTCTTAGAACTATGACTTCAGGTCCTGGGTAAGATTTTGTGGGACAGAGTTTCAAAATCTCACTTCTAACCGTTACAATATGTACACAAGATATAGTCCTATGTTAACCAAATATCACAAATGCAGTTCAAAGTTGGGAGATATAGGTCAACAGGTTATTTTTATTTACTTATTTATTTATTGAGATGCTGCTTTTGTATTGCTTAACCTGGGCAGGGTCAGTGAAGAACCTCATTGCTAATAAAAATAAATGAAATTAGTCTACTTGATACTTAGTATCATCCTTGATACTAAATCTGTTATCCAAAAGGACTGTAATTAAGAATCTTAGATGTGTATGTTAAAAGTTTACTTTTTTGTTATAATATTAAGTGCTTAATGTGTTTCGTAATAGTTAAGGAATGAGTTTTTGAGGCTTTATTTACCTGAAAATTTATCTGTCTTATCACAGTGAGTCACCGTAGAATGCGGAATGTAGTCTTGTCTGGAGACTTCTATCTTCAACCAGCTGCTGAACTGAAGATGGTGGGGCGGGGGGGGGAAGTAATAGCTGTCAGGTATTCTCTGAATATTAATTTTTCAGCAAAAGTAATGAAAGCTGTACTAGACACTTATAAGCAGCAAGTCATGAATTCTCTATTTGTAGCTTTTATATTGACTTAAAAATGAACTGCTTTTAACTTTGACAAATATAATTCTTGAGGGATTGAGTGCTAGTGACTACATAAGGCATTTGACCTGTCTCCTGTAGGTGTTGGGGTTTTTTATTTTCTTACAAATTCAGATTTTCCAAACTCATGTATTCTAAATATTATTCTAGGTTATATATTTTGTATGCAAAGATTTGCTTATCTTTAGAAAGACTGAATTCTATTCTTTGGAATCAAACAAACCTGTAAAATAGGTCATAAAATCCATTAAAAGCTGTTAAATTGCTCTACAAACGTAGGCAAAGTAATTCACTGATGCACCATAAAATGCTTTTAAAATATTTGCCTATATGATATATGCTTTTTCTGGCCAACTGAGCACAGGGCCTAGTCTTCTTTTCTGCATGGACATGATTTGCATAATTATTTTTTTTCCCCTCATCTGAGTCATTATAAATTACATGTCAAGGTAAAGATATGTAGTCAAACGTCTACCTACTGTCTCCAGAGTTTCATCTGCAACAGCATTGAAGTCTACAAACTGAATATGACATAAGTAGGCAATATAGATAACTATACATAATCCACAAAACAGTATCATTTGTCTCAATGGCTTTATGTATTCTGGTGTGTATAGCACTTTATATGAGCTGATTGCAGCGACTAGGAAAGTGGGCCTTAGGTCTCCTTCCTTGGTTACAAAAAATTAACATTTTAAATGCTTTTGTTCCAGTTATGATCCAGTTCTACAATAAACAAGGATCCGATACTCCTCTTTTGTCTTTCTGATGAAACACCAGAATATTGTTTTCTGCAGGCCTAGGTTTTAATAATAAACAATTAAAACAGGACCTAAGTCAGACTTAATGTAAAGTAATTTCCTGATTAGAAGGAAAATCAGGAGCTATTTTTAACAGGTGTGGCTTTATATATTACATATATCTGTAAAATCACATGTCAATATGCATAAATGCAAATTAGTATTCATAATCACTTAATTATGATTTAGATTATGTTGCAAAAAATAACCCGATCTCTTTCTCATAACACAGCAAAACAGGTGGACAATTCTGTCTGAATATTACTGCAATTCCATAAGATTCCATGAAGGATTAGAAATGCAGAAACTCAGTCCCAATTTTCAGAGTACATTTTTTTTCCGTAGCTGAGATGTTTGTTTATTGTCTAGTTAAACACTTTTTTTATTGATGTGTTTATTGATTTTTTTTATTTTTCATTGGTGCAAGAGTCAAATTTTATCACTTAGTCTGCAATTCTGTTTTTTCCTCATCTTTGTCCTGTTTGACAGGAGGGGAACTTCTCTAAAGAAAACAGTAAGGAAACACCTAGTGGTGTGAAAGTTGTTGGACAGTCCGTGTTTGCAGATTTTGGTGAGTTTTATTCTTTTAAACTATCCTGGGTGTTTCTTTCTTTTTCATCTTTTGGTTAGCTACTCTAAATCAAAGAACAAATAAAGGTGTCCAGCTCTAAAATTTTATTTTCCTTTTTTTTCTTTAAGGTGTTCTATCTATTTAAGTGTAAATCTTGAAATATCTGGAAATAATTATTAATAAATTCAACTAAATTCAACTTTGGCTATCTCGGTGCATTCTGCATCACGTGTCTACTTTTGAGCACCACACTTAAGGACACGTGCTGTTCTGTTGAGGCATGGTACACCACTAAACTTACTTTTATCAGACTTATTTTGTTTGTCGTGATTTGGGGGTTTTCCCCTAATTTTGTTCAGAAGATACTATTTGAGTAAATGTTCATAAATTCTTCACCTGTACAAACTAATAAAGCCAAAATGTAAATGAATTAAAATGACTTGTATAAAGATAAGTATTTTACCATGTTTCATTAATGGTTGTAATTGAAACTTCAGGAAGGCTTTTGGACAGAAGAAAAACTTAATTTATATGTAAATATATTTTTGCAAGGGCTAGTGAAAGCTTATATTTTTCTATTAGTGTACTTTTTTAGTCAATTGTGTCTTATCAACGTGTGTGTCATGTTATGAACAGGAAATGTTGGGTTTGTAGTACAAAAAAAATACCTTTTTTCTGGGCAGAAATAAGAATTTTGCAACCCAAGGGAAGTGCTACAGTCCTGATTCTGCTGACAGTATTGAATGCAAATAACTTCTTAAAGAACTAATTTACTGTATTTATACACCATACTTGTTAATTGTGAGACTGAGCCTGTCTTAAGTGTTGTCAAATGGTAGCCTTGTTGTATCATTTAGATTTAAAATCTCTTTTAAAGAAAATGACAATTTTTTAAGTTGAAAGTCAGACTTCATTTTAGACGCGGAGTCCAACTCTCTTGCACTGTGCTGCCACTCAGAAGTATTCTGTAGAGTTCTAGCAAAGCTGTTTCCTGACATGTAACTAGAAGACACCTCTGCTGGATAGTTAATTATCCTTAGGTCCTGATCTAGCAACTATGGATGGGTTTACAGATCTATAGGAAATAAAATAAGGTAGAAGCTGAACAGTGCTCTAGGTTCTTCTGTGAAATGTTTAACAAGTTTTCTAAAATCTTTTACTGTTTAACTACAAATCCAAACGCTTGGGTATGTAATTTCTGAAGGAAAGAATACATACTATGGTTTTACAGTTTAAAAAAAATTTCAGTGTGTTGGGTGTTTTGTCACCATTTTCCAGGCTGATGTTCTGAATAATGTGTCTTAATAGGTGGTAAGTAAAAATCAGATTTTTTTTATAGATTGTTTTTTAACTATGGCAATGTGGAAACCAGTCTTTATGTAGGATAATTTCATCTCTACGTTAGGTAGCTAATGAGCCCAAATGATATATCATAATTGTAGAAATTTATCACAATTAATGCAATTTTAATAAATCCTGGGATATCTTTGCAAAGTGAAGTGGAACTGCTCAAATGCTAAGGTTAAAATTTTGAAAACGTGAATAAATGGAACGTGCAGTGATATAGCAGTGCAGTACGCTGTGGGGTTTTGGTACAGCCACAGTTATGAAAGGCAATGCCTGGTCTAGCTGCTGCAGCCGCAGGGTGCTGCTGTTTTGAAGTTCCATCACTAGTTGTTTAGTACCCTGCTCTGCTCATTATCCTCACATTCATAGCCAATGCACTAGTGTGAGGCAACAGTAGAGAAATCTTTCTAGTAAGAATGAACATAATGGGAGAAAATGCATGCAGGGACTTAGGAAATACATGCAAATAAATGTAGAGGGACCGTGTATGTGGCAAAGTAGATAGCAAGGCAAGGAATCATCAGTGTCATCTCTGGGAGGAGATGCTAGCTTTTCAGAGGCTGACTTTTTAGAACTGTTTATTTTGAAAGATCTCAGCCATGTCATCTCTAAGAGAGAACACTCAGCACAGGTCTTGCAGAACTCCTCTTCCTGAACAGCTGCATACACACAGTCATCTTTATCTTCATTCCAGATCACTCACGTTCATCCAGGATGAAGGATGGGAAATGCTTTAATGGCCTTTCTGCCCATTAATTTTCCCGAGTGAAAGGAGTGCTATAAATGTATGTGTGTATTTGATAGAGGAACAAAGCTTATTCTGACAACAACAGAAATACTTACAACCATAACTTTAAATATACTATTTGAGTACTATTGTGACTTTAATTGATCTTTCTTCTGTTGTAACAGTGGGTATGAAACTTAGTAGTGCATCATTTTTTTTCTTCATCTTCCCAGCATTAATTTAAAATAATGAAGACAACAAATAGTTATTTTCTTGAACAAAGTTCTAGACAATATTGAAGGGAATATGATGCTAAAACAATGTGTATGAGTAATGAAGGGATATAATTCTAAATTCCACGTTCTTTATGAAATGCAGTGTGATGGAAGCTGAATAATACCCCACCACCATCAAAAAATCCTACGTACAGCTAAATAGTTCTGTGTAAGAGTGGCTATATAGTAATTGGTAGGAGGAAAAAACTTTTAATGCAAAGGAGGATCTTAGCCGAGTTCTGCTCATGTTCATTTTCATTCCGGTATTTTTTGTTCTGCACCAGTCTAACAATAGAGGCAAAATCTCACATTACTAGAATAACACTGTATCACAGTATCTACGTTCACCCAGTGTGCCATGTCTGCATGTGTTTAGATACTTTAAAAGGTAGTCATTTATCATACAGATTCTGCTCGTAGTGAACTGAAGTTAAAGAAAATGCCTTACTAGAAATGGTTTGTCAGACTTGAACATGTCCTTTTGATTTTCCCTGTTTCAAAAATGATGAAATAATGATCATCATAAGTCAAAGGAAGTTAAGGTATGATGGTTTGCAGTTTGAAATAGTAATTTGGCTACCTGTAACGAGGCCTGAAAGAAGGTTCATTGCAAAAAAATTAAAATAGCACAATGAAAATGTAAAATGAGATGCCTTAGAAGATTACAGTACCTTCTACCCATGAACCTTTTGCCAAACTGTGTGATACGCTCGGGCAGAACGTAGCCTAGCACTCACTCAGCTCTGTGCGTGCTGCCAGCATCTTCACTGTTGGCACTGGGATACAGCCACTGTGACTAGAAACACGTTCGATATACAGTCACAAGCCTGGTACATTCTTATTTCTGTGTTGCCTGCCTCTCTTTTCTTCCCCGTTCTTGACATTTTCTGTACCTCATAGCTGATGTGCCAGCCTTGCCGTTCACTAAAGGTCTTGAAGGATTCCGTATTTCTGTGTGTTTTCACTCTCTGCCACTTCTCATTTACTTAACCTTGTGCATATTAGACTCTGGAACGATGTCAGGTCCAGACATGGGCTTGGGAGCATGTCACGTGTGCTGCTGCCTTCTCATTTACACACACCTTTCTATTTGCACACTGTTGTACTTCTGCAGTGCAACATTCTGATTTATTGGCACACCTACATCTTGGCAAAACATGTTTCATTTCAAATGGTGACTTCGTCTAATATTATTTCCAGCTTCCAGAAGTTTTATTTGAAGTACCCTTTCCAGCCGTAAGTATTTACTTGCCTTTTGAAAAATGGGGGAGCTTTGAATAAGATTCTGACTGAGAACCTCCAAAGGCAACTAATTTTGGGTAAGGTTTCCTTTCTTAAACTAAGCAAGTTGAACAACAGCTATCACACAGAAATTATTTAGATAAGTGGAGCTGGAAAAATCAATTGGGTGACTCATGAGAAACTGTCACAAGTGTTAGTGTAATCTGAAGTACTCAAATAATAAAGATACATTTTTTCATTAAAAAGATATGCAAGTGTATGTTTGTATACATCTCTATATATGTGTCTGTAAAGTCTACTACATTTCTGTACCTCTGTGTGTGTATTTTAATGGAAAAATATGCAAAAGCAGATGTATATCTATCAATATCATTATGGTAATGTAGCAGACCTTAGACTTTGTCTAAATTGGAACTTCAAAAATGAGTAGCACTCCGCTCTGTTACATGGCAGCAATGATTTGTACGTTAACCTGACCAAAGGACAGTGAACAATTGACAAATTTGTATTGCCCTTTTAAAAATAAATCAGAAATGCTTTGTGACATATTTATTACAAATGGCATTTCAATTGATTAAGGTGAGCAGAGCTAGGCACTAGAGAATTCTGCACTTATTTGGCTGACACATTGCTCCAAACAAATAAGAGCTCTTCATTATTACTTTTTCTATTCTTCTCATGTCACTATGGTAATTGCAGTGCAATGGTTGCTATAGCAAAAATGATTAATCCTCCGTTGTTGTTATCTGTATGCTAGCAGAGGCTTTTTATGAGATCTGCTTGTACTGTATTTAGAGGAAATCATAGATGCTGGCTAGAATTCTGATAAATAATTGCAATTATAAAGAGTTTTAATAATTGTCACTTGAAATAGTGGAAAATGTGTATTTGTTAAATCTAGGATTTCATTGGGGCTTTGAAAATGACCAATTTTTTTTAGTAACAAGATGAATGTGAACCATTTTTTGGACACATAAATCTGCTATTTTCTTGTTCCACTGAAGATAAATGAAATATATGTTTAAAGGAGCAACCCAGAAACAATTACATAGAATATTGTGCTGGTTATACAGTCCATTAATTCGTTTTTATAGGAAATTAATGTTATAACTGCTATTCAGCTATGATTGGTTCACTTGGTTTAGTGGAGATTGATAAATCATCCTTTGTGACATATGATCAAAGAATGTAAAATTTTGATGAGACAGACACTGATTTTGCTTAGTTTAGGCAAATAAATTTGCAGCCTGTATGTAAAGAAAATAATAGCTTTTCAAAATCAAACTAGATAATACTTTTGAAGCATGATCCTCCTCATAAGTAAACACAACATAATTCTTACTTTCTCAAGGTAGCATTTAGCCAACTCCAGTTCTTTATCTTTTACTCACCATTTGTTTTCTTAGCTG